AATATGAAAGATAGCGTTGCACATGGGCAATCCATTGTTGACGTGCTACTTCAATTTCAGTTTATGAGAAGAATTTCATTTCAATGCCCTTCTAAATAAGAAAGTTGGAACTGCGCATGCGCAAACCTAAATTTTAAAACTAATGTTAGATTTTCCTTTGTTCCAAGCGCCTAAGTATCAAATTTCACTTAAATGCTTCCATAGATAAAAAAAGGTGGCACTGCGCATGCGCAAAATAAAATTTTTAAACTGGCGTTGGATTTTCCTTTAGCCCAAGTGCCTATGTATCAAATTTCGTTTAAATTCTTCCATAAATAAAAAAGTTGGTCAAATACTTTTATAAGTAAAAAAGTTTGCAATTCTGTTTATAAATGGTCGAGATGCGAAAAGGGCACTGTGAATTTTGAATGGATTCGATTCAACTTTTGGCATTGCGTATTATATGGCTAAAGCTATGCCCTCGGCTATGCCCATATTGAATTTCATGCAATTCAGTTCATAACTAACGGAGATCTAAAAGCGATCGGACATTTCTAAACAAAATTATCGTTCACACAGACAGATAGAGGGACAGACAGACAAAGGAATAGACGGACAGACCAACCAGCAGGCGACAGATAGCAATGCAAAATTATAAACGATCTCTAGGATCGTTAATAAACGGCAAAAGTGTAAAATTATGGAACATGTAAAAAACAGTTTTTTGTTTTTTTTACAATAACTTTTTTTGTAAGCGGTACAGAAAAAATTCCTTCCTTGGTACAAGACTCGACACCATAACGAACCAAATAGCGAAAAAAATAGAACAATAGCTCTTAAGATAAAGAACTAGTAGCGTCGCAAAACGAGCGGACGGACGGACAAAGTGGCCACAATAGCGCATTTTTTTTTATTTTTGTGGAAATGCGCTAAAAACGATGACGTTAAGCCGTTTTCATCTATGTATCTTTTAAGGTTACTGTGAAAATAATTACAAAAGAAACGAACATTTTAGGACATTTGGAGATAGAGTCCCCGTAACTGTTACACCCTGTAAATTTTTAAGTAATTGCGTACAAACTGAGGGGAGGGGAATTTTGAGTGATTTAAAAACACTAACAATTACTCGAGTTCCCCCCAAACTTTGGACTATGTTTTCACATCGCATGAATACCATAATCCAATTCTTATTGGTATATATAATTTAACAGCAACTCGAACGTGTAATCAACCGCACCGAGTTTAGACGGCCAAATTATTATTTTCGAAGTCGATACTCCTAGTCACGCGAGCACTTATTTTACGTTTACGTTTTTCCCATTACAGGTTAACAACACTTGCAATGCAATTTAATCGATGTTTTTATTTACAGTCTAAATTTAGATATCTAGCCAAGTAGTAGTAGTAAAGAATTCCACTATCTATATAGTTAGACGCCTTTTATCAATTGCTCGAGATCGCGACAAAGAAACTTTCGGCATTAAATTCGTATTATTGATTTTTCCAACATCGTTTACTCTGAAAGATATCGGACTATGTGTAGTGTTCGCGAATGATGCCAAAATCGTTATTTATACATGCATCAATTTCGCTGGGAAAATTTCCAAACGCATATCTCAATATGTGGCCCCCGTTGTCTTTCGGGCGGGACTGTATCTTAGGCCATCAAAATTGATGCTTCTGCACAGTTTTCTTTAGAAAACTGCTCATCGATTGATTTGGTGTACGAGAGTCATTAAATTTAATCTAATGCGAAAGAAAATCTCAAGTGTGCGCCTAGCCTAAGGCGAGTAACTTTAATGCATAGCCGATTTTCATTATACGTTGGTTGTACTATACGCTTGGTTTTTTAACATCTCAAAAAAATATGTCCATAAGTACGAAAGTGGCATCGCTCAATCTGCGCATGCGCACATTTGATTTTTGCCTAATGGGATATGTTTGTGTTGTGGGAGAATTTTGCAAACGATAAGCGAATTATGTTGCCTTTAAGATGCGTATCCACCGGCGCTCGCGATCTTTCGAACATGGTATCAAGTGATCGCGAGCGTCGGTGGATGCGCACCTTAAGATTTTGATATTCAAATTTTTACAGCGTAGGTACAATACGCGACGTGTAAAAGCTCTCGAGTGTCCCAGATTTAGAAACATCGATTGTTGCGTTCTAGTCGACTAAAGCACTTATGCAGAGAGAAGCAATTGTACGTTTTTCACAGTCTTTTGAAGTTCCCAAGGTGCATCACAAACAAAATCGTTTTTCACTTTAAAACTTTAGGAAAAAATAATCCATGGTAGTCAAACTAGACAAGCCTCTCGGTTGCTTTTATTTTACCTAGGTCTATTAGAGATTGCGCCACGTATTGAAACTGGGAAAAAAATTCGTATTGATTTCACAAGTGCAATTGTTTGTTATTGCTTGCGACGTAGATGTAGAACAGAAGCAATTGCCAGTTTCCAACGTAGTTGTGGAAACATGTCGATATCATTGGGGTAAATGGAAAGTTTATGAACGTGGGCGATTCGCAGGCCCCTCCAGGATCATCGAAGTAAATCAATTTTTATTGTACTCGATTGGGGAAGTCATATACAGGGTGACAATTTGAAAACTTACCACCCCCCACATCTTAGTAAATAAACAAGATATTTAAAAAAATCAAAATCCGGTATGGTTGGAAAGCATTTTTTCAGAGCTTTCCAACGACATATCACACATGGGGGGTCACTATTAAGATTTAAAAGTTGGGGTGGCTGGGGCGCAGGGGGTTGAAGGGGGTGCGTCGCCAACTATGTCATTGTGATTCCTCCTTCGAATTACCGAAACGGATTTTGATTTTTTTTAATATCTCGTTTATTTACTAAGATATGGGGGGTGGTAAGTTTTCAAATTGTCACCCTGTATGTATATACCGTATGTAGGGGAAAATTCCGTCCATCCGAGGTTTGAGCTATTAAATTCTAATGCACGACGAGTTTTAAACGAGACTGTTATGCTGTCTCCCAATCTTCCGTCGCTCGCTCGCTCGATGGCTTCATGTCCAGCAGTAAGAGAACGCGATGGACCATGCATGGACCGATTATGATGAAATGTTGCAGCTGGATTCTTTATCGGAGTTCGTGAATTGGCAATGTAGGACAAAAAATAAGGAAGGCCTGTTCCCCAAATCAGAACAACGAGCGACAGTGCGACATTGTCGCAGAAACAAAATGATTGCTGCAAGATTGAGCAATTGGATGTGGATTTTAAAGAACGACATTTAACAATTTTAAACATTTATCAGTTGCTGCTAATTAATACTATTTTTTTCAGATAATTATGTCATTTTAAATACAGACGATATGTGCTAAAACAGGGAAATATATACCTTCAATTGTTTTAACAGCTAGAAGAATATATAGCGGTCATGGCCGGTTAGATTAATGAGCATTGTTAAAATACACTTACACCTCGTTTTTCAGGGTTTTCTCAACATTTTTCTTATGTAAGGGGGTAAATATTTTATTTTCTCCAAAATGGGAAAAAATAATATTTATTTTGTTTCTATGCACTTTCATTTTAATAAATAGAAATAAGCTCATAACAAATATAGCAAACCAGCTCCTGGGTCACTGAACATTTAATCAGTTCTGCCTTGGGTCATGTTAAACAAAATACTGAAACAGAATTGGAAAATTCGAAATCGTTCGGGAGTTATCTTGTCCACAGACGGACGAACGGACAGAAAGCATGAACTCGCTAGGAGCTCGTTAATAATTAGAAATTGCCATCTGATGAGAAACCAAATGCGAAATCTTGTTATGATACCAAAGTTCATAATTTTTAAGTACTTTGCATGATGACTGATAAAAAAAAACAACGTAGGTATAATCTCTAAGCCATTTTCTTCTTCTAGGTAGATTTAGATCCACCTATTGTAATGGTACCAGTATATTTATAGGTTATATCACTTCCAAGAAACACTCTAGCTTTCGTAATTATGAACCGATTTCGACCAAACTTTAAGGGTTGGGAATTCCATGGCATCACAGTTTATTGAAAAAGATGGGGGTTTTATTTTTCCAATTTTCCGTCTTTATTATGCAAAAATTGAAAACTAATACGGTTGATTGGTGAAAAAAATTTTCTAAAATAATTTGGAGAGCCAATAATCGAATTTTACACTGAAATCCCTATGATGCGTTACGCAAGTCACCACCCTGTATATTGCGCCCCTCGAAATCACCGCCCCCTCCCCCAACCAATTAAATGCACTTTTACCTCAACCAGAAATATGCAATATTTTTTACTCTTTACAAAAAGTCTTAATACATTTTTCTTCCTCCTAATTTGCTCAGAGATTTAATTAATTTAATTAACATGTTTTATATTAATTATGAGATTTATAGTGTTATTGAAACAAAGTATAATATCTGTAATTCGAATTACAAACAAATAACTATTTTTATTTACTGTCCCTCTCTTGTCCTTGTGTGTTATTGAGCCCCCCCCCCCCAGGTACGATCATGAAATTGATAAAAATGGCTACAGATCACCTTAATTAAGCGTTTTCAACAAACAATTGCGGGAGAAGCCCTAAATTTTCCACAATCTTAATGTAAAGTTCATATAATTTATATTTAATTTAATGTTAACTCCATATTTCGTGATTACTTTTAAGTTGGTGCCCAACTTCATTTTTTTAAGAAGTTATGTTATTTTTCCACGATAATACTGTACAATTATTTCCCAAATTTGGTTTTTGCCGCTATGGGTCCGGGCCCACATGGCCCCATGCTAGATCCGGCCCTGGATCCTTGCACAGAAAATAAGAGAAAAGTTGGAGTCATTGAGCTCTTGCAAAGCAAAGACAAACACCTGCCTGTAATACAAGGGGCAATTGCATTAGTAGTGATTATGGTTTGTTATACCAATTGCTTTCAAGATCTAGACTATTACTGCTTACATAATAACAATTCCGCTACTATTATTTATTCCATGTGTAAAGAGATGTTCTCGCTTTGTTAACATTCTATTATTGTTTCAGACATAAATATGGCATTTGCAGGACTGAAAAAGCAAATAAACAAATGTAATCAGGTAAGTGTATATACCTACTTTTTCTGTTATTTTGGTCATAAGACAGTTTATTAGTTTAGCTACACCGAGACCCGTTTATTATTGCATTATATGTAACTATGGAAATTTCATTAATACACCAAATTGGTTTTTGCACTTTCAATTAATTATACAGCTCGCGTGCTTAGAATTTAATCAAATTTTAGTCGGACACAGTGCAGGGGCTTTTTTTTCATTACTCGTGCTGTACAAAGGTAAAGCACCCGTATAGTACGCCCACATTACTGAAAATGTAAAGCTTTATTAAACATTTTCGTGGAATTATAGCGCTAATGAAACGTTGTTCTAATAATAAAATACCTGCATGTTGAAATTCCCGCTCAGTTTCAAGAGATAACATTCGCAAAGAGAGCTATCTTCCAATAATTAACATTGCGTGTAACAAGGGGGAGTAACTAATTTTTGTTTCGATTACCTTTTACATTTCAGTCATTACAATAAGTGTTTAACTTTTATTTATACCGACTGAAATGATCAAAATCCCTGCAAGAAAGAAAACCTTACAAAGCTTGTTTGCACATAATACCCCGCACGCAGACGGGCGATAAAAGAATCTTAAATTACCTACAGTTTTCTCTTTAATAATCCAATTAATCTGGTCGTAAAAGGGTTTCCGATATTCAGCGGCACTTTTTAAAAACTCTCGATGACAGCTTCAGGGAACTTCACATTTTCTTTATTAAACTGAATTTTGATAAATAAGATGAAGATGAAGAACTTTTAACTTGTACTTGTGCTTTGGTTATCAACGCTCGAACTAACTTTTTCTGAATACGGACAGATCGTTTCCCTTGACGCTAACTTAAATCTTTTATTAAGATCGCTTAACTTCTTCTGCACACTTTATTTCGAAACCGACGACCTGCATCTTCAACAAAACAACTAGGGCAGATTTCCCGAGATTTAGCACGCTCTTTAAGTCAATTCCCTTCGGGACCTTTCATTAGAGTACCATGAAGAATAAATCCAGTCTCTCCCTCTCCATTTTGATAGGCGGTTAGAGAGAAGGGCGGTACTTGGCAGAAAACAGTTCCTTTCGTTGAGACCTTTAATTAGAGTACTAAAGATAAAACTAATTTCCAATAGATAACAATAATATATAAATAAATAATTTTGGAGTTTTTAGATGTTCTGTATTTACAATTTTGTTTGGAAAACTCGAATACCTAGGGATTCCGATCCGTTCTTCTATTATCCGTTACGGTCACCGAGACAAAAGTTAAAGAAAAAACGCAAATTTCAGAACCATTGACCTCGTTTTCAATTTATTACGGAATACGCTGTGTAGTTCATCTGAATTGCGCTTTACTGACCACACCAAGGTCAAACAAATAAACCTGTACAACAGAGCACGACAGTTATCTGGAACTTTGATGATCTTTCTCTTATAAATTGCGCTTGTATTATGCTTTTTCCTTGCACCAAGAGGAACCTATACATTTCTGTGTGCAATGGCGTGCGATCATACCCATAATAATATGAATTTGTGGATCATGTGAAACTTACAAACAGGTCAGATGTAAGTTGGTAGTGTGCTTTAGTGTTAATGTACCTATTATTGTTTGTTTGTTTGTTTTATTTTTGACTTGTCATGTTATATACACTTTTACCTGTAAACCTTTTTTGTTTTGACAACTGTAAGTGCTTTGCACCCAAACAGGAACGTAAATAAATAAAAAAAAAAATAAAAAAAAATAAAACAGCTGTTCAGTTAGCTTAAAACAAATTAAAATTGAAACTTATAATCTCTCCTGGTACACATTCGGGAAAATCCTAATACTGTCTTAAAACTTCTCATTTCGAGAGACTCGGTGGCGTCGATCAACTTCCGCAAATTCTAACAGCGATAAGAACACGTGCGTTAATTAAATTTCGTCCGATAACAAAATTTCTTATCGCAAACGACCAGATGTCCCTACATTTTAACACGTAATTTCACACAAATCCAATTAAACAACACGCAACTACAAACAATTCCTAGATAATCCTCCAGATTTACACGTAATAAACAAACTGAAATGTTCTCATGCACAGGGTGTCCCGTCAGTAGACCGAAATAACGTCTACATGACATTGTGTGCACAACAACATATACCTTCTTTGGTAGATTTTTTAAAGATTTTCTTTTATTTTTGCAAAAGATATTCATAGATCTGTATAGCCACTTTCGAATTTCCAAAAGATAGATTATTTATGCAAGTATACATAATAGTCTGTCGGTCTACGCATTTAGAACATGTACTTATATCTTTCAGGCGCGAGAAAGATGATAGCTTATATACTGTAGTAAATCCTTATTACTGGGATTCGCTTTGAACATTTACTTGCTACCGTGTATGAAGTTCGTGTTTCCATAAATACAAAAATAAGTCTTTTGGTGCTTTTGATTCGTTGTGTAAACGTGTTTATTTTGGTTTTATGCTCATTCAAAATGCTTGTAAAAGGAAATACATATTGTTCTGCTTCACATGAACGGTTGCCTTGGTATTGATCTTTTATAACGCGCTAGTCGATACCTATAAGTTGTTTTAGATGCATTATATTTTCAGCATCGTCTTTGAAGGTTTTCGTTGTTAATTGACTAATTATATAATTATAACAGTGCATGGTATTGACAACGTCTAAAACCTTACCGATGTATCTCACTCATCTTAATTGAGTTTTAGGAATTTAGTCGCAGTCTTGAGTGATTCCATACAATCATTTATTATACAGAGTGTTCCTAAATGTGGTGTAACTACGTAAGGGGATAATTCTTTGGCATATTTTATGACTAAAAGTTCATATAAAAATAGGTCCGCAAACACTTTACAATTTTACAAGAAACCAAAAAGTTTCCAAATTCTTGTTTCATAGTCTACTAGTGGTGCACCAAAAAAAAGTTAAGGAGTAGAAAAAGGAACATGACCCTTGAAAAAACCATGTAGATTCTTACTACCATTTCTATGATCAATGATGTAAGCCCTTTAACGTAACTTATATTTCTATATTAAATTTGAACGAAATATCTCAAAAACTCGAGGAGATATAAAACTTAGAAAATCTTGGAATTTTAACACCCTGTAACGAAGCGTTTGCGGACCTCTGTTTATGTGACCTTCTCGTCACAAAATAAGCTCCTTCGTAGTCCGTATATACATGACGTTGACAAAAGTGTGGCACATAATATTTATTGGTGGAAACAAATTTAAGTTGATGGCGATTTTGACTATTAATCAAAAATCGTTTTTTGGACATTTAGTTTATTTGCCGCCCAAACTTTTGTGACATATGTACCTACTTGTTGTAAAAAAAATTGCTCTAATTTTCGCATGTCCTTATCACTACAAACGGATTTCGACTACTGAGAATAGTAAAATTAGGATTTTCCTATCCGACAATGAACTCGATGATAAATTGTGTGTTGGTACAAGATCGTTACATTGTTCATTTTGATAATGTGGTATCTGTTATCATTACTACTGTCATTAAATATGTCCGGTTTCCTTTTTACAATTCCCGATATCTTTGAAATATTGTATTTGCAAAATTAACTGATTTGGCGATTTATTTTCAGTATGTCACTGAAAAAATGGGAGGTGCGGAAGGCACAAAACTGGATTTGGACTTTATGGACATGGAAAGGGTGAGTAATTTTCATCGCGAACAACTTTTGAACCGTTTCGATTTGTAGAAAACCGATGTAACATATGAATTAGTGGAAGAGTTACAAACCAAAACTAAAGAATTTTTACAACCAAATCCGACGGCGAGAGCTAAAATGGCAGCAGTTAAGGGAATAAGCAAACTTAGTGGTCAAGCTAAATCGAACACGTATCCTCAACCAGAAGGTGTTCTAGGAGACTGTATGCTTTTATATGGTCGAAAATTAGGAGACGACAGTATGTTTGGACAAGCTCTTGTGGAAATGGGTGAATCTCTGAAACAAATGGCGGACGTCAAATATTCGCTGGACGATAATATCAAACAAAATTTCTTGGAACCTTTACACCATTTACAAACGAAGGACCTTAAAGAAGTTATGGTTAGAATATTACTACATTAACTATAAGACCAGACTGTTTTAATTGCAAGTTTTACATGAAATAAGTTCTGGTTGACTTGGTGAATTCCGAGGGGCAAATAACTCCTTAAATATGGTGTACACGTGGAATTTTTAATTACTTGATTACCTTTTCAATACTTTAATTACGTTTTGAGTATGTTTTGAGTCTTTTCATTACCTTCAAATACATTTCCAGTACTTTGATTACATTGTGAATATTTTAATTATCTTTTCAATATTTTAATTCCTTTTTCAATCTTTCAATTACAATTTCAAATACTTTCATTACTTGTTTAGTATTTTGATTACATGTTTGATAATGGTAAGGTCAAGTTGTTGACACGTCATGTTGGCTTGCGTACTGAAATGCTTAGTGAACAAGGTCAAAAATGTTAATACATAAGGTATGGGTAAAATCAGTAGTAGGCTCTGGTAAAATCCTTTCCCTTAATCTCAGCTGAAATGTGTTTCTTTTACTTCCACTATCCCCCCCAAGCAGAACAACGAGCGAAAGTGCGATAGCGTCGCAAAAAACAAAAGGATTGCTACAGAAAGATTAAACAATTGGATGTAAAAAAATTATGCTCCCAAGGTCACACCTCGACGCCCGTCAGCCTGTGCCGCCCATTCATAAATAGCAAACGCGTTTTCCCTTCGGAAAAATGCGGTACAACTTTGCTTTTCCAAAAAAATTGAAAAAAGTGGGGAAGGGTCAATTTTACCGTTTAAAAATATACATCCCCGCCCGGCCGATCAGTGACTGCAGTTCGTAATGCTTTTTCTCTGCATTGACAATAACAAATTTGGCAAAATCCAGAGAGCCTGTAGTTTGTTCACTTTGTTTCAAGAAAGTGATTTTTAAAAAACTCAGAACTGATTTTGCGAGGCACCATTCTGGCGTACCTACTTGGAGAAAGTTTGAGGACATTATTGTTGAAACCTTTAAATCATTCTGCCTCTCATTCTGCTTTGGGGGTTCCACCAACAGAATCCAAAACAATTCGTACTTTTTCGATCATACTTCTCAATCAAAAGTTATAGACTAGAAACCAATTTCGAAAAAAAATTTAAAGGGCTGTAACTTTTGAACTAGTAGCCCAATCTTGGAACTGTCTGAAATTATGGATTCTACAGGCCCCATTCTATAAGAAATTTTTTTTCCGGGTCGATCTGAGACAATTTTTTTTTCGGGGCTCAAAAAAAGGCAGTGTATAACCTTCCTTTTTTACCAAAAATCGACTGCACCAAAATTTCTCAGGAAATCACTTTTTCTTATTAATTTTCATGCGTAGAAACCACCATACAATACTCGATAAACTATATACCTACTTAGGATTTTTTTAGTAGGAAGATACTAATGCTATTAGCATTTTCCAAAGGGCCCACTGAGTGTGACAGTTCAAAGTGATACTTTGAACTCGTTCACAATGGATATGCCTAACCAATTATAGTACAATATGGTATAATAGTCCTCCACTTGAATTGAAAGTTGGCATCCTTTCCAGTGAAACGAGAAGTGGATAGCGAAAAGGAATGATTCAAAAAGTGACGTTTATCAAATATATAGAGTATCTCCAAATACTTCTTAATTACTTCAAATATATTCAAGTACATCTCAATTACTTAAATTACTACTTTCGAGTATTTTAATTATCTATGATTATTTATTAAATATTTTGATTCTATTGAAAATGTTCTGATTACTTATTAAATGCTTGATTACTTTTCAAATATTTTAAGTCCTACAAATACACGTTAATTACTTACAAATACCGTTAAATATCAAATATTTTAAATATGGTGTACACTTTTTTGGAAGTTGTTTGCTTCTCGGTGAATTCATTCACATTGCCTTTGCTATTCACTAAGTCAACTTGTTTTGTAATTAGGAATGAGATTGTTACTAACAATTCATTTTAGCACCATCGGAAAAAACTGCAAGGGCGTAGGCTAGATTTTGATTGCAAAAGAAGAAGACAAGCAAAAGGTATGTAGCCACTTGGTGACATTATACAGTTCTTTTGTTAAGTTTCGATCCAAAACAAACACAAACACTCACCAGCAAACCCTCAGTTTCTTTAATGGTGTCACAATGAACGTTTAAAGAATGAACAAAGGTGCTTAATATTAAAAAAAAATAAACTTGAGTGTCCAAAATGTATCGTTTGGGAGATGATTCTTGTTTCTCAGCATATACTTAGAAGACTTTTAAGTATACCCTTTGCAAATGTATTTTTCTAAGCGGAATTGTAAAAAAAATTCTGATTTTTTTGGAATTTGTTATCAAATTTTCCAAAATCAGTATTGGAGTTACTATACGTATAAAGTTTGCTCTTACATTAGATAGTTTTCAAGAATGCTAATTTAACATGATGAACAGGCGCCAACTAGAAACCTAATTTTCTTAGCTAACCCTCGCCACCAGATTTTGGACGGATTTGGAAAAGAAGACGTTAATGGCTACAAAAAGGTTCTCATAGCCCTGTCACAAAAAGTCTTTTTTTTACACATTGTAGATTTCTTTATAAACCCCTTACCTTTAGGGGCGGTTAATAATGTCACATGGTTTTTTTTAAAATATTATTATTATTTTCTACTGTGCTTTGATTAAAAATATTTGATTGTTTTAGTAGCTAATTAACAAATGCCTTTTTCAAACACAGGCTGGCAGCCAGGTGTGACTTGCTTGATATTTAAAAAAATATTTAGTTATTCACGTATTGTTCGTTTTGGATTTTTTTTCCATCATTTAACACTTCCATTTACTGTGTCTATCTAGTGTAGTATTATCTTTGGAGTAGGGAGAAAGGTACTTACCCCTGCGTGAAGTGAGATTGCGCTAGAGGTTAGATATAAAAGATTCCGTAATAGAGTGAGGTGGGACAGCTAGTATTAAAACCTTTTTGGAAGTTGCAATGAGGAGACAAACCCAGAGCCAAAGAGGCGTTGCACCGGCAACTGTACCGTGTCTTATTAAGTCGAAAGTCAATATATTCGCCTACAACTCCAAAGTTGTTGTAATAGGGCAAATGGGATATGTAAAGTATCTAAAGAATATTTTGGAAAACCATGTGCACCACATGTCTTGTATTTACCTCCTTGGAAACGTCATATTTTGGGAGATTGGGTAGATCTCAGATGAAGCATTTTGGAGCCTCGGTTTATTTGAAAAAAGATGTTTGTTTTCTCTACCACTCAATTTTTGTTTACATATTTAACAAACAACCACAAACACAGTTTTATCTTACGCGTTTAATTGTCAACTGCTGACAGATTCACTAAAGAATTGGCCGTTTGTTGCACATCTATTAATTTTAAAGGCACCAGTACTATTCAATTTACCATAACTAATATCGGCAAAGATGTATGAGCAATGAAATCATGTAAAAGATAACATAGTTAATTGTCAGATCTACACCTACTCTTTACACGATTTCAGGATGTAAAACATTATTGTAAATGTAAACATTTTATAGCTTCTAAGACTCCAAGTCCCTATTCTAGTCCAATTAGAACACAAAGGCGGTCTTCTGGTATGTGATTACACCATTTTCTCAGAATTCCTTTTTGTAGTTTTGCTTCCAATCATTCATAGTAAAGTATTCCTAAAGCTGTTCTTGACCAACAAATGAGTAGTGCCTGAAGACGTTTTATTGCTAGTGTGTTTACCATTACCATGTAAAATACAGTTATGTCACATTTCTTTCGTTTCAAATGATTAGTTTTTGTTTTTCCGTGGTTTTTAGATTTTGTTTTTAGTTTACTGATATAGAACTTATGAAACAGGTTCACATATTACAGATGAAGAAATCAAAATGTCCGAAGATAAATTCGCAGAATCTCTCCACTTAGCTCAAATGGGAATGTTTAATTTATTAGAAAATGATGTAAGTATCCGTCAGAGTGCCGGGTTGCTCGTTGTTAAAACTTATTATTCGCAGGTAGAACAAATTTCACAGTTAGCAACGTTTGCTGAAGGTTTATTAGATTACCACAGTCAGTGTACTGAGGTACTTAGAAGCCTAACAGAAACTTTATTAGTCAAGTAAGTATTATATTCATATATTTAATATTAATTTAAGAAATGCCCCAAGTTACATATTTTAGTAGACTTTTTAGGGTATCTTATACACATAAGTATGACTGGTTGCATTAAATAAATCGTACAGAAGATAGGTAGGCAACATGTCATTTTACTATCTTAGAAAATAGTGTCACAGGTGTAAATATTATACTACAGACTATGTTATAAATTGGTTAGAGTAACCAAACCAAAAAACGATTAACGGCACCGCCACCACGTCTTCGTCTGCTATTTAAATTCTTCCTTCATTCAGTTTTCGGCGCTCTTCTACTTGATTTTGCGTCTTCGAAATTAAACATCTGTGTTTTCTTATCCCAATGACCGGATTTAAGTGAGATAACTTTAACAAAACATTATTTCGAACTAAACTTGCTAAATGAGCAATCAAATCAAATAAAAAAACGATGAACGCAAGGAATTTGCACATAATTAGGGTTGTCCATTAAATCGAGATACTACAGTGTAGGTTCACATGTGTAATAATTTACAGTTTTACACAATGATAGTATTACCATTACCCTTCTTCCTATAATTCATATCAAAGTCTGGACCAAGTACAAGTATTGAATAACTAAGTGCCATGGTTCCTGTAACTATCAAAATAACTTCACATCCATTATTTTGGGGGCTTTGCTTTGTGGATCAAAACAAGGTCAAAGTGCATTTCAGACAGATCTGTGTGCTGTATATGTAAAACCAATCTTCTGTACGCAAAAAGGTCAAAAACGTTTATGCAATTTTATGCTTCCTAGCAAAGAGAGCAAATAGAACTGGAAAATGAAAAAGATCTATTTAAGATCCTTCAAAAAATGACGGATACGGACACAGACCTTGCCGAATGTCTTGCGCATCACTAGTAGACAGTACTGGACAAATATTTACATATTTTTCTGTTATTTTTAGGAAGGACGAGGCGGCAAATCGTCCGAAAATGGAGTTCGTTCCGAAAACGTTGGGTGATTTGAATATAGAAGGTGTATCGGATGGAGTAAATGGTACAAATCATCACAATTCTCTATCAATCACACATAATAATCTAAAGCAACGTCCGAGACCTTTACCCAAACAAATTCCTCAATATACCAGACCTGACCCTTTTGACCCTTGGAGTTCCGTAACAGGTATTTTATTTATTTTTTTTATTTTACCCATTCGATTTATTTATTGTTAATTATTTATTAATTGTATAATGGGATTGGGGGGTAAGTAGCATTCTATTGGTTAAGGTTCATTTATTTTTTACCCATTTCCTTGGTAATCCACATCCTTTCTAACTCTTAACCTGTATGCACGTAACAATCGCCAATATTCTACGTGACTATCTCAAATTACATTGTTATTTGTGTAGATGAGTTTAGCTTTGATGTAATAATTTTCACACGAGGTGAATCATTTGGAAGTGTGCCAGTCTATTTTAAATTTAGTCTGGCCGTGACAGAGAGTTATGACTGATGAAATAGTTTTCCGAGGTGTAAAGTATGTTTGTAAATTTTGTGTAAAATGTTTGCATGTGCCAAACGTGGTGAAGGGTTTCTGAATTGCTTTGGTTGTTGTTCTGATGCAGATGTCTTGTTAGGCTCTTCCCAGGTGTCTTCACCGCAACATAAGCCTCAGGTGCAACTAGATTTACGTCCTGGGCAACACTCCGCGAATGGTAACTCTCTTTTTCTCATGTGCTTACGTTCTTATTGTAGCTCTTTGTGTATGCCTTGTGAACGTTGGCTTGTATGCGTAGATAGGCGCACCTGTATCCGTTATCTATTTGATTTTATAGCTTTTGGTAACAATTTCATTTTTTAGCCTCACCATTGCCGTCCCCCATGAAATCACCTGCACGAACGCCTATATCACGGACTCCATGTTGTACCGCGTTGTACGACTTTGATCCAGAAAATCCAGGAGAACTTGGCTTTAAGGTAATGTTTGTCTTTCATTTTGTAGTATCCTGATTTCTATTTTATTTGAATTTAAATATTACATGGGCGCAAGAAATTAATATAGGAAATAAGGGATTATAACCATCCATAGCTGTTTGTTGAAGGAAACAATTGATATATACAGTGTGTTTGTCCGTTTTGTTTACACATAAGATTAGATATACCTCCTGCAAAGCAGGACTGGTGTAATTAGTCTCTCTAAATCGCCTTTTAACAATACTAATTTTCATACAGAATGTTCCAACCAAAGGCGGCAGTATTGAATTTACCTTCTCCCACTATCTGTAGCTTGGTGCCATATATTGAAGTGTCCTTTAGCTTTGTGGGCCCTTTTCTGCATGCGAAGGTTTGTTTTTGTTGGATTAACAGGCAAACCCTCTTCTTCCCACCATGTTTCCACTAAAATCTAGCTACCCCTAGAGGAGAAACGACGTTCGACTGATGGGTCTAAACAATTTGGCTTGGGGCGTATCTGTCTCTCCCAGGTTTCGGGATGAATACGACGTTAGGTATGCATCTCTTACCCTTAGTAACGTACGTAGTGCGGAGGCTAGCAGGTCCTGGCCTTATTGTAGTAGCGCAGGAAAAATTCTATCCATCCCTGGGGATGTATAATGATGGAAAGTCTTCATCGGCCATCTAACTTTGGTTAGGTCGAAGTTTCACCCCCTCCCATGGAGCTGGTGTTACTAGCTCCCACCTCATATCGATACGTCATTTGCGCAGGTGATCAACCCTCAGTGGTGATACTCCGCGAATTTGGGCTAAACCTCCCCATTGGACAGAGCGTCAAGGATCCAGGTTTTCATGGACAAAAGCCTTCACTGAAGATTCTAATATCCTTTACGATCCCAGTCTTCAGTGCAGCCTCGGAGGTGCGTTGCATGGTTGCTTAGAGGTCCCAGGTTGCCCCACTTCAGCAGATGGGAGTCTAGGTTGCCTAAAGCCTCAACCGTTTTAATTTCCTGTGCACTTCCCCCGAGAGTTTTTAAGCTCTCTAGTACAGGGTGCTCCAGAAGTAGTTTGTTGTGTTTTTCCTGATCTATATGAGTCCCATGAGTATGGAGGAAAGAAATGTCTACGTGTAAGGGGGGGGGTTATAATACAACGGAGTGGCACCCTGTGTTCTGAGGTTGGGGAATCCTTTATTCAGCCACGCATCCCCTTGGTCCGGCCCCTTTATCCTTAGGATCTATGTTATTTGCTAAAGTTCTCTCCGGATGGTAAAGTCAAGACCCCCCCACCCCCCTCACCATACTGAGCCCCACCAGGTTTATGCATGGTATATTGATATTGACAAGGTTGACATACATTGAACACAATATGTCGACATCTCTGACTCTGCCACCTAGGGACGCGCCTGGTAGAGTAATTACATCTTTAGACTGGACACCGAAATATAATATACAGTGAGTTTTTTTTAAATGCGAACATAGGAGTTTGCATGCAATGTAATCTCCCTATGTTCGATTTAAAAAAAAACCACATCAATCTATGAGATGTGCGTGGTTCACATTCCCAAAACGCGCAATTTGTGTGACTATGAACAGCAATTCATAGTCTTTATGATGAAGAGCACTCGGTAAGATTTTTTTAAAGAAGCCATGTGAGGCCATAGCAACTTAGGATACATTTTTCATAAACTTACGATAACTTGACCTCACAGGCCACGCACTGACACCACAACTCATTGTGAACCAACCTTCAATTATTTGTAGGTCATGTGCACTTGGTATTCTACTAATTTGATCTATTCAGTACACAAAATGAAGAAAATAAATACCGAAAACAATTACAATAAATGTTCGAAGTGTCCTCCTTGACATTCTAAGCAATAACCTAACCGATTTGGATTTCTTAATTAAATTGGATGGCGGTATTTTTAAAAATGTGACAGCTGTCAATTGTATCTACTACTCATTTGAACTACTCAATAGATTGATGTGTTTTTTTTTTAATTGAACATAGGGAAATTACATTGCATGCAAACTCCTATGTTCGCATTTAAAAAAAATTCACTGTATGTACAGTGTGTAAAGCGATGGGGTATACAAGAGGGAATTTTTTTTAAATATTGATTTATGAACAAAATTTATTCTTCATGATATTTTTTGCTTGCTTTGAAAGTACCAATAACGTTTCGATTGTTTGTGGTTTGATAGCAATACGCTATCTTGATTATAATGTAGAATGATAACTTTCAATAAAAAAAATTAATTTTATTATTTTTCCGGATTTCTATAAATAAATTTTAGATTATCGAAACGTTATTGGTACTTTCAAAGGAAGCAAAAAATATGAAGAATCAAGCGCTTTACACACTGTATATCACATGAATGCTGTAGAGAAATACTTGAATAATTAAAAACATTAACGCACTAAATTATAAAAATTTATGGTTCCTTTATTCTACAGTGATATTTATTAAGAAGTAGACATAGGGATTTAAGTGTATCGTTTTTCCCACTGTCTACTTTTAAAAGACAAAATCTCTTCTGAAGCGACCTAATTTTATGCATCCAAAAAACTTCTTAAAATAAATAAATTTCTTAAACTTCTTAAACCGGCGCTATACAAAGCAACAATATTCAGCCAAATCTTTGTTTTAAGAAGTTATTTTGGTTGCATAACATTCGGCGCTCTTCAGAAGAGATTTTGTCTACTTCTTAATAAATAGCACTGATTTATAAAATTCAAATTTACACTTGTTTGGTCCCGAGTCAGCGAACTTGACAAAACAGCTATGGATTTTTATAATCCGTCAGTTATTGTAACTGTCTTTACCATGTCTATTGGATTTTTTAATTTTCATTTGTTTAAAGTACACCTCGCTCTGTTTTAGGAAAATGATGTAATAACACTTATAAATAAGATCGACGAGAATTGGTTTGAAGGAAGCTTTAACGGACGTACGGGATACTTCCCTGTGACTTACGTTAAAGTAGATGTACCGCTACCATGAGTTACCGGTTAAGAGCAACTGCCAAGTATTTTTTAATTTGTTTGTTTGTTTGATAAAAGTACTAAAGGCCTTTTTTAAAACCACCGAATTTATATTTGATATTGTTTGGTTCGTCTATTAGCAATATTAATTTTGATAAATAATATTTCTTATACTCGTACTATGTGGTACACATTGCCAATATACATATAATTATCAATTAATGAAGTACAAGAACTGTTTTAATATATTTATCCAAATTGATTTTTAATTGCTTACTCTATTTTAATATCTTAAGTCAGTAATTTAATTATATCAGTAGTATTTGAAGCTGACGTAGAATGTTGGCCAATACTTGTGATAATGAACGTTGCATAAGACGCATGCTACTGTGATGCATGTATCTGTTAGGTCGATAGTAACAAATTTTTTGTTGTAATTCTTTTGTCAGTTCCCACATAAAAATTTACAACTGTCTCATGTTATGCTGATGCAACATCTTAAAAAAACTTCTTCAGTTATTAGGTGGATTTGCAATATTTACAATAATTCATTTTTGAAGTCACCATGTTAATTGCTCTTGTACCCACATCTAGTCGGCTAAGTGAGTGAATTTTGTTCGTAATTCACCTAATAATAAGTTAGATACATGCAAAGTTTCAAAGACAGTAATCGATATGAGCATATTATTGTTAGCATTTGCTCATATGCTGTGAAACTGATAAGGTAGAACACAAAATGGTAGCAGACGTCGATAATTAAACTATACCAGATACCTATTCGAGAAGCCGCAGACTTCACCTCCGAAATACATATCCCGTCTAATTGAATTGTCGCGATGCTACCATTCTGAGTTTTTATGTTAGGATGTATATATTCTTTACATCAAATAATTAGTTGTAAGTAAAAAATAATTTATAAGAATATGAAAATTATAATAATATGAAGCAAATGTGATTTTTACTATGTTTACAATGAGACAGATTCCTATTGTATAATTTGGCGTTAGTAGCCACTTTAAATTTTGTAAACGATCTTAATTCGTTTAATTGTGACCACGATCGTAATATGAATACTCAATTATTACATGTTAATTTTCTTATTATACCTAGATTTCAAGTAACGTTGCAAAGATTATGTTACAAAATATTGTTTTTTATATTTATACGTGTTTAGTGCTTAACCACTTGCCTTATTATGCAAGTTAATTATCCAACTTGCCTGTATTCTGAGTATGTACCTGTAATGAAACATTATTATTGATCTACCACAAATGCGTTGTATAACTCACCAACCTTGTACAAGAATGTGCGAGAATGCTTTTATGAACAAGTCTTTCAATACTTTTTAGTGTGGTTGTCAAATAAAAGCGCATTCAACTACCAATTTTGCAGTACTAAGTAGAATTTCTTACTTCAATTACTTAAACGGCATTTTAGTTCTTAGTGAAAATTAAAATCGTTTTTTATAAAAATTCGTTAAGATGTAAAGTCCTATTGGGCATGCTGAATGTTGAGAGTTTATATAGTCCGTTGTTGTTATTTTAAATTAAGGTTAAAATTAGGTTTTGCGGGAAATTGATAAACCAGTGAGGTCTAAGTTGCGATTGTAGGAAGATGTCATAACCGTTATACGACTGTGATATTCTTTTTCGTCTCAGTGCTTTATTAGAGAGTAGTGGAAAAAATTACTTGCACTTTAACTATTTTAGTATAATGGGGTTGGTCATTCATTTATTTTACGTCGAACATTTAATGCGGCAAGTGGTTAAATATATTTAACGTGGAGATTTGACCGTGTCTCCACTTTGTAATTGTTTCTCGTTGCCATTATACCCGTAGAACTCGTATAGATGTATTTCTTATATATTGATGGAAATAAAACGCCAGATGAAACCTAAAAAAAAATCTGTCGTGTATGTTACCTCTATTAAGAAGTAAAAATGTTGGGCAGGCTAAAGTATAAATACTTCTTAACATCTGGTTTATGACAATACATTAGATGTAAATTCATACCTATGTAATCCAGTTAAGACTACTGTGCTGTTATATCATGCCTATCAAAGGAAATCTATGTTTTAAACGTATTTTTATCTCATAAGTAAGCCTGTTGTAATGGAAATATTTCCACTGTTCTTTGGCTATTATCATAAATGATCTCTTAACATAAAAAATTGTAAGTGTGATGTTGCTTTGCCGTATTAATAGTGAATAACTTTATATTTTAAACATGGATTTATGTGGCAGATTTATATAACACATTTTGTACTCACCTATTTGGCTTATTTCGCATCGTTTAATTGAAAATTAGTTACCATCTGTAACTATCATACATGTACAGTAACCACATACAAAATATGTAATATAATGCCTATTTTATTTTCCAAGTTGCCATACCTTGTGCATTCAGAAGAAAGAAAAATACGTGTTTCGAATTGTAGTCAATTGCTATTGTATTTTTCTTAGGTGGTAGATTCTACCAAATGAAAATAATCTATTGTTAACAGTTATGTATACAGTTCAAGTGTTATGTATTGTACATTAATAAAAATATGTCGCAATTCATGAGATTTTTAATTTCGACATTAAGTCACACATGGACATGTCACACTTGGACCTTAAACTCAAATTCGAATTTAAAGACGAAATTTGATCAGAATTTCATGTTTAAAGCTGAAAAAGACTGATGATCTCAAGTAGAGAGCAAGATGGCACCTAAAGGACTTTGGCAGTTAGAGGACAGTGATATCTGGAAGGAGCATGAAACCATAAAAAAGTGTGCCTCCAAATACAGAAAATTGTATAGTAAAAATGCGTAGTTTAATAAAGACTATTTATTTCTTTGCCCTTTTGCTTAAGTGACCAGAAGAGGATTACTCACCGACAGCTAGTCGGAGCACATTTACATATAATTACATATAACAAGAACCACCCCCAAATGTAGTTAAGAAGCATGGAGATTAATCAGAGGTAGGATGGAGTGCAAAAATTAATTTTAACATCTGTTACACTTCCACGTGTTTTGAGGCCAGTTGGGCTAACTCGTCGGTTCTCTCATGACCTTTCTTTCGTTTCAGCACGCCCTTTGACCGCTACGAGCTCAAGGGTGTTGCTGCTTGCTACTTCCTCCAATTCAGGGTGACATTCGGAAACCAGCCTAGATGCCATTTTAAAGTGGGCACAGCAGCCCTGCCGTCACTGGAGATTCTGATAGTTTTTAAGAACTTCTTGCACTAAACGTTATGTCCTACCAATTCTGATTGGAATACAGTAGGAAGTTTGCACAGTTGTTGGGTGATGTGGAAGTTCAGTTCTTTAAAGTAGATTACAGTGCCTGTTCCTTTCATTGTTTTAGATCCATCTGTGTAAATGACGTCTGTCACTTCCGCATAAAAAAAGATGTGATAGTTTTTCGCTAATATGAATTGAGGGGCGAGTTCGATCCTTGTAGGATAGGCAATCTCTTAAACGCTTCGCCCATACAGCTAGTATATATTCTCTCACTAGCAAGCTAAAATAACATCAAGTCCCCATTCCAGGAGAGCTGGTATTATACTTGAAAAGTTGAGGTGATGGAACGGGATTTTTTGAGGGTACTATCTGCGCTCCCATATGAGGACATAACTGCCCTGCTCCCTTTTCTGGTCTTCTCGCTTTGAATTTGCCGGCGCTCCTAAGGGTACTGTTTGATTTTTCAGCTTCGTTTGGATTATTAGCAGCCTATAAGTTTTTTGAACCGCTTACAAAGGGCTCCACAAAGATTTACTTGTGGGGTGGCCCCCCCCCCTCCACAGCCTTGTTTAGTTCACTTGTCTCCCCTGAGGCTTTGTTACCCGAGAATTAGGAGTCCTCAGGGAGAGAGGGATGCGGTAACCCTGTCTGGACTAGTGGTCTTCCTCAGAGACCAATAAGGCCCTCTCGATGTCGAACAATCCTTGGTCAGTGATGGTTGGAGGTAGCGAGTTCTCCGTTACAGCTTGAGTGGGTTTTGTATTGAGTCCTCCCACGAGTATTAGGCTTTTAAACGGGGACTGACAGCTTCGCCTTACCGTCAGAAGGCTACTTGAAAGTGAGAGGCGCCCGGTACCCAGAGTTCGCTGTCCAATGATCAAGTTCTCCCTTGGCCATGCAGTCCTCTCGGCGTCAGCTCTTCCACCCTGATTTGTGTTTGGTTCGCCATACTGTCATTCGGCAATCTCATCCATCAGGGGGCACCACTAGGAGGTAGACAGACGGTTAGTCAGGTATCGCTATAAAAACTCAGGAAAGTTTTTGTTTCGGCATATGGTAGTCGGGAACAACGATACTGATACAGACTTCTCAATCAAAAGTAATAGACTAGAAACCAATTTCGAAAGAAAATTCAAAAGGCTGTAACTTTTGAACTAGTAGCCCAATCTTGGAACTGTTTGAAATTATGGATTCTACAGGCCACATTCTATAAGAACATTTTTTTTCGGGGCGATCTGAGACAATTTTTTTTGAGCGCCTCAAAAAAAGGCAGTGTATAACCTTCCTTTTTTTACTAAAAAAAGACTGCACCAAAATTTCTCGGGAAAACACTTTTTCTTATTAATTTTGGTGCGTAGAATCCAAAACAATTCGTACTTTTTCGATCAGACTTCTCAATCAAAAGTTATAGACTAGAAACCAACTTCGAAAGAAAATTCAAAGGGCTGTAACTTTTGAACTAGTAGCCCAATCTTGGAACTGTTTGAAATTATGGATTCTACAGGCCACATTCTATAAGAAAAAGTTTTCCGGGTCGATTCGAGATAATTTTTTTTGAGAGCCTCAAAAAAAGGCAGTGTACAACGTTCCTTTTTTACCAAAAATCAACTGCACCAAAATTTCTCGAGAAAAGACTTAATATCCAACACAATTCGTACTTTTTCGATCAGGCTTCTCAAAAAAAAGTTATAGACTAGAAACCATCTAATTAATCAAAAACCGTGGCATTGAACTACATTGCTCTACAGATTTTGCAAGACTCCGTCCATCTTGAAGTGCCATTTAAGGAAAACTAAGTCCACGCATAAACTCAAAAGCAATTTCAAATAAAGTTACGTACGTGGCGACATCTCAACTAAACTTAAAATACTATAACGTGAAAAAAGTGTATCGATTATCAAGGAGATGGCGCACTTGCAGCCATTATATTTTAACTAATTTTTCAAAAATGTGGTCATTGAAGTACAATTGCTGTACAGATCTTGTCCGTACATTTTTAACTGCCATTTTACTGCGTTTTCCCCGTGTCCTTTTAAGCATTATGTTTGATGTTAGTGTACCTCTCCGTGCTTTCTCTTGGGCCATTTCTGGACTTCGGGAATCTTGTCTACTTGTCCAGGACTTCCTACGACCCCATTCCTCCTGACAGCTGCCTACTTTTGCCTAGGAATTCTGCACCGCCAAGCGCCGTTTAACTGTCGTCAGGTTCTCACTCAGACGACAACCACAAGACAGTGTGTATAACCTTCATTTTTTACTAAAAATCGACTGCACCAAAATTTCTCGGGAAAAGACTTTTTCTTATTAATTTTGGTGCGTAATATCCAAAACAATTCGTACTTTTTCGATCAGACTTCTCAAAAAAAAGTTATAGACTAGAAACCAATTTCGAATAAAAATTCAAAGGGCTGTAACTTTTGAACTAGTGGCCCAATCTTGGAACTGTTTGAAATTATGGATTCTACAGGCCGTTAAGAAAATTTTTTTTCCGGGTCGATCTGAGACAATTTTTTCTTCGGGCCTCAAAAAAAGGCAGTGTACAACCTTCCTTTTTTGCCAAAAATCGACTGCACCAAAATTTCTCGGGAAAAGACTTTTTCTTATTAATTTTGGTGCGTAGAATCCAAAAGAATTCGTACTTTTTCGATCAGACTTCTGAATCAAAAGTTATAGACTAGAAACCAATTTCGAAAGAAGATTCAAAGGGCTGTAACTTTTGAACTAGTAGCCCAATCTTAGAATTGTTTGAAATTATGGATACTACAGGCCACATTCTATAAGAAAAATTTTTTTCCGGGTCGATCTGAGACAATTTTTTTGAGGGCCTCAAAAAAAGGCAGTGTACCTTCCTTTTTTACCAAAAATCGACTGCACCAAAATTTCTCGGGAAAAGACTTTTTCTTATTAATTTTGGTGCGTAGAATCCAAAACAATTCGTACTTTTTCGATCAGACTTCTCAATCAAAAGTTATAGACTATAAAAAAAATAGAAACCAATTTCGAAAGAAAATTCAAAGGGCTATAACTTTTGAACTAGTAGCCTAATCTTGGAACTGTTTGAAATTATGGATTCTACAGGCCACATTCTATAAGAAAATGTTTTTTCCCGGTCGATCTCAGACAATTTTTTTTCCGGCCTCAAAAAAAGGCAGTACTTTTAAGTTATTCAAATATTTGAGAACAATTTAGAAATGTTTAGGGAAAGTTTCCATTGTCACAAAATCAAATATAAAAATCCGATACAACTAAATACCGAACGATCCTGGAGTGAAACTTTTTGACTCGATAGTCTACGTAACTTAAAAACAATAGGGACCTTTCTTATATCCTTAAGACCATGTGTACCAATTTTCAAAGCGATCGCACGTTTCTAAACAAGTTATCATGCACACGGACAAACGGATGGTCAAAAATGGATCTGTTCCAAAATCGCTAGGATTAATTTCAGAAAGGCGTACGTATCATGTGCACGACGTACAATCGCTTTGAAAACTGGTACACGTATTCTTAAGGATATAACAGGTATAAGAAAGGTCCTGGTAGGTACCTCCTATTACCTATATAATAATAATGCGCTTTTACTCCCCTTAAATTTGTATATAACAATAGAAATATAAAAAAAGCTAACCCCATACAAAGTATAACTTGATTTTTTAAGTAGTATTAAGACTTTTATCTCGACTTTTATCTATAGTATACTGTTTTAAATTTTTAATGTACCTATTTGAGTGACAAGTATTGGAATACTTTTGAAAGTATTCGAATACATTTTAAAGTAAGTATCTGAATACTTATTTTTTAAAGTATTTGAATACTTTTCAATGTATCTGTATCTGTATCTAGTATTCGCTTAAGCTGGACGTATTTAGTATTCAAATACTTTTGATTTGTCTAAAGTATTTACTATTCAAATACATTTTGAAAGTATTCTGCCCAGCTCTGCAAGAGTGTAACATTGTAACAGAACACAGTCTTCCACGCAACAGGTTGAAGATGAGGGTTGTGTAGGGAGTGATATAAAGACGCCATCAAGTCGATAAATGATTAGTCGTCGGCAATAAGGAACGAAAGCGGATGTGATTCATTTTTTGAATGAAATATGATATGCTGATTCAAGTCCTCTCTAGAAGGTTTTTGTTTTAATTCTTTTATGACCGAGAGTTTACCCAAGTGTAAGTTGGAAGGCATAAATGGGAAACATTACTGCAATACCAGCCATCTTGCTGCCATTGGCATTTGGACCAACAGTGATTTTTTATGATTCATTTGCAGCCAGATTGATCACAATAATTTCCACTTTCGCGCAATCTAATAGCAATACTTACCAAGAGTCAGTGCTTCATGTAAATATGTGTAGTCTTCAAAACCAATTCGAAAATTCACAGTATGAAAAATGATTTTTATTTAAATGTTTATATATCATATACAAAACACATTAGTACACTACATCAATAGTGGAAGTAAAAGCAATAAACTATCAGTAAAATGAATTGAACACACATACCTACAAATAACTGTTAACTTAAAACAATATTAAACAAGTAAATCAACTAATCTATATGATATATTGCACAGATATAAAACATATTGTAATATATTGTATAAAAAGTAATGAGTTAATTGAAAGGTACCCTCATTAATGATAAACATTAGATACCTGTCAGATGAATAACAAATTTTTAATTATTGAAGGATGTACCTACAAACAAAATGTGTAGTATATCCAAACATTAACTTGAAGATTAATCGTAGATAGGTATCAAATTTTATAAAATTGCACTTTCAAATAAAAAACTGTGAATGCATTTACTCCATTTATTTGATATTGAAACGTATATCTACTGAAAAACTATTTTGTATTTGAAGGTCACTTTGTTTTGCAGCGGCGATTGCGCTCGCTCATAAGGACTGCTCCATAAATACTTTTCTTATAAACAACCTTATACTTATCTATTGGTGGAGACAGCTAAGATATTGGGAACAAGGTACACTCCCCACAAAATATGTGAAACAAAAATGGAAGCTACCTCACACTTTGGGAAGCGATGTATAAACCTGAACACTAATAGGCAAGTGACTTTAATCAGAAACGCTGTAAATGGAGATTTGGCAGTCTTATGTGAGCAGATAATTGGCATACGTTAATTTGGAGGAAATGTTGGAATAATCAAAGGCATATGACTGTTAATGCTAGCGTTAGTATGTAAAAATGAATGTTCAAAAAATGACATACCTAATTTATGTACATTGGTAGATGCATTGCTGATATCAGGTACTGATGTGATGAAAGTATGAGTAAAAAAGTTGGGCGACGGTTCTTCTAAAACAGGTACAGTTGTGTGGAGTGTTTCTTTACTAGGCACTGCTTGTGTTTTTTCAGGGGTAGATTTAAGATGGGGTCTTGTCACATGTACTCTGCTCGAATGTAATATTACTTGGTAACGGTGTCGAAAACAAAAGTTACAGTGTTCACATTGGAAATGTGCTTTATTTGAATGTTTCCAAAGTTGGTGTAAAACTAAACTTCCTTTTGTTCGAAATTGACTTAGCCTTTGGTTTCGGCACCAATTACATGAAAATCCTTTTTTGGTGACCAGCTGAACCATGTACTTATCGTGTAGATTATTTCCCTGTCTCCACATTTTACTATTTGGGTTCCATAACACATCAAGTCCCTCATTGCACAAAAACGGTAACACTATTTTCTTTGGAGAGCTTTGCTTCCTTGAACGCTTTCCATGCCCCTCTTTGTCTTGGACACAACTTCCATTAAATTGATATGAAATAATGGAATGAACTGGCATGTGATCCATGATCTCAATTTGGCTGTTAAATGCCATTTCACATAGGCAGCATTGATACTTGGGATTCGGATTGACATTCTCTTTGGCCTCTTCGGTTTTTGCGGGAGATGTTGTACTGTGGCATCGTATATATTGGTGAGTTTCTAATGATGCATCATCTTCAAATTCACAGCCACACGTTTGGCAGACGAACAGAGGAAGTTCATCGTCTTCTGCTTCGGCTTCCTCAATTTGATTACCAACATCTCCCGCCTCAGGAAAATCCGACTGAATTCTATGATTTAAAATGATTCGATTCATGTCTTCAGTACCTCTAGAGTCACACTCGGGTTCGGAACTGTCACTCGCTTCCATGTAGTTAAATAGGCGCGCCGCCCCGTGTTGCTTTGGAATGTGAGGTTTCCAAGGTTTTGACTCATTTTGTAATAGCCGATTACCGTGTTGTAGTATAGCCGTAGTCGTACTTACTTCATATTTAATGTTAGACGGATTTTGACTGCAAATTGCAATTTCTATTGTATACGCGATTTGATTTGTATATTTATACTTACTTAAATGGTGTTGGTTGTGAGGTGGGAGTGTTGTTGAAGGTGGTTGTGCGTAACACGCTGCTGCTAGATCGGTTGTTTCGCTGATCAAGAGGGCTGGAACATAGTAATTACCAAGGGAATGTTATATGTCGATACATACTGTTGTTCCTCTTGATGCGTTGCTAGTTGGACGGCGTCATCTGCCAAGAAAGTGCATTTGCCGCAAGCCCTTTTATTGTGTACCTTTAACACATGGGTGGCCAGTCGCTCTGAACGCGCCGCTTTATAGTCGCACAATCCACAAACAAATGGTTTTAAGTGGGTGTTCATATGTCGCTTCAAACACCAATTGTCCACGCCAGACCACGAGCAATAGCAGCAGGTGAACCTTTTTTCTCCTTTCTTCTTATTAGAGCCTTTTCCTAGTAGATTTGGTTTTGTGTTCGCGGATTTAACGTCAGACCTGTTGCCGTTGATAGCTCTGGGAACGTTATTAAAATTGTTTGGTATGCTTAGGCAGTTTGTCATCAGCGATAAATCAGTATTTATAGGTTCTGGTGATTGCGTTGGAGTTTCACTGGCGTTATACTTGTGGTAGTACGACATTCCAGACGCATTCTTTGGCGGATGTCTTCTAATTCTGTTTAAGTCGTACGGGTGTTCTCGATGCATTCTTAAAAAATGCTTTTTTACATGGTCCGCTCTGTTAAATTGCTTCTGACAAACGTAACACTGGAAAGGCTTCTCTTCTCGGTGGATGTTTTCATGGCGCGTGAATAAATCACGGCGATCTGTGGCATAAGGGCAATATGTGCAGCTGTATCGTTTAGTTGGGGAGGTGTTCGTGGACTCTGTTGCGGTAGCCGTTGTAACTTGAGTTGGTATGCTACGCGTGCTTGTGCTAATAGGATTAGTGTTTTGCTGAAATTCTTCGGGTTGGTGAGTTTGTGGTTTGGCGCAGTTGACCTCGAGTCTCGACTTCAATCGTTGAAGGTAACGTGTAACTTCGTGGAGTACCGGATTGTTCTTGAGAAGCGCTTCCGTTGTTTCTTCTGCGCTAACGTTGTGATGACGTGTCAGATGCATTCGCACACAGCGCGCCCAAGCGCTTTCGTAGGGACATTGAGGGCATTGAAATACTCGCAGGTTTGAATGTGTCCCCAGCCAGTGTTCTGCAACTCTTGGAAGGTAGCCGACGCAATCACATTCGGCGCACCGAAACAGCTTTTGGGCCGGGTTGTAGCTTGCTATCTTGGAGTGCGTCCACTGCAAATTATCTTCGCTAATGATCCATTTATCCTCGTAACTTGGATTAGGTTTGTGCTGCTGAAATGGGGGATTTAAAATACTCGCAGATTGTAAGCCATTTTGCATTAACGCCGCCAATCCAAATGCCGTGATATGCTCTTCCGACTTAAGCAGCGGACCTTCTATGTCATAGTCAATGCTGGTCAGTCCACGATCTTGAGGGTTAGAGAGGCGTTCAGTTTGCACGCATTCGGGCAAACCGTCTTCGCCATACAATTTGCGAGTGATTTCTTTAAACATATCTTCGTAGGAGTCAATGGCATTGCCTACCATTGGCATTGCCACCTCCATACCTTGGCCTCTACCTCACTGCGGAGGTAAGCGGATCTAAAAGAGAAGCAAACCAGTCAGCGACTTTTGAATCTGACAAGAATTTCGAATGTGGTCGATAAAAAATGATTTATTTAGCAGGTGACCAAAAACGGTAGGTACGATGCAATTTGTCTAAATTTGAATAAATCCGCTGTGATTGGGGTAAGAAAGTGGATTTATAGATATTTTGTTTCATAGCCAAGCGCGACACCTGTACGTTGTTTACCTAACTACTGCTATGACCTCTTGTTCACACAGAAACGTAATAATTGATTAGGAAAAAAACGAGCAGCAATCTATTCTTACCGTTATTATTTGAAGTAGTCCAAATTTTGTAACATCACTATAATTGTATAACGTACTTCGTTAAGGGAACACATATTTTCGCACAATTTTTATTCGTAGGCTTCTGAAGTCCGTGCATTCTAATAAAACAGCGAAGTTAAGTGAAAGATAAGAATGCAGAATCCTAAATCTATTGTTGCATTATCAGCGGTTGACACCTGCACCAACAGAGTATATGAGATATCTGACCCACCCATCGATGCAGCACCCGACGCCCGGGGCGCCCACCCCTCCTTTTAACCCCTCTCCTCGATGCCACCCTATTCAACGGATGCGATACATAAGCGCTACGTATGTTTTCCGTCTTAATATTCTAAATTAACTCTTTTCCTTCTACCTTTAAAAATTTTGATAATCATTATGTTTCTACTTATTGTACTGAAAGATGTTTAGTGGGCAATTACGTTTTTACTTCAGAAATATGTACCTACAGGATATCTATGAGTACTCTTCATCTGAATCATTTTGGAAACTCATTACCAAAATAATTTTAGAGAAAATGAGAGGAATAAAGTATAGTATTCGATAAAAACCGATCTGGGATAGTGTTTGGTGTGGGTTATACGAGAAGGGTGTTGGTGAATGTGGGGGAGGACAGTAGGAGTTGCCAAGCAACAAGGGTTATTGGGGGTGAGTTGCTGATATCGCAGCTTTATTTGTGATAAGGCACAACACATTAACAATGCATTCAAACTTATATGCAAAGCAAAATGTACGGATTAGGAGTCTTAAATAATTACGATTGATAATTACAAATGCCTACAGCGTTCTCTTAGATTAGCTTAGTCCATATTCGAGTTCGACAATAAGCCAATAAGATTATGCTTCCTTAATTATCTATTTCAAATTCTGTATACAACTCATTTTATAATAGAGTAGACAATTGCAGCGATATTTAGTCATCGTAAAGCGTCAGCAATACGTTAAAAATAAAGTTTTTTTACTAGTTAGTTTTAGGGGTAGTAGTGGTTTCTCTATAAATTGGTAAGTAACGTAATATTTGCTCTGAACGTAATATTACACTTCTTTTGGATTAAAAAAGGTACCTAAAAGCTCGATACAGTTGTCACCTGTCACGGTGCGAAGGCCCTTTTCCATTATCCTGTAGACTTCAAAAACAAGCGTCTGTAAGCGATTGATTTAATATAAAATTGAATATCACATGTATTCGTAATCACATGCGGTTAGGTCAAAGCGAATCATGCTGGATTTCTGAATGAAGCAATCCAGAAATAGCAATTGATCAAAACGTGCATTTGAAAGCTCCGCTATTTCACCTGATTGCATTATTAGTCCTGGATAATAACAGAGCTCATCGTATTCAAATCAGAAAAATTCTAGGAAATTTGGTTGGAAAACTGGGACACGTGTTGCACGCTCGATTTTTGAACTTGACACATAATATTTCTGCATTCTATTAGTTATAGAGGTTCTTTGTCAGTCGTCAATGGAATTTCAACATCCCTAAAGTTGCCGTAAAGCAATTAAAAGTATGCAAATCGAGATGAGGATGACGATCATACTGAATTTTATTTATGAAATATGTGTAGGATTAAACTTACATTCCTAGCACTCGAGAGAACATACTTTTGATTACTTTTCTTTGAGAAAATGTAACTTGTTTCTTTCACGCAACTTTATTAGGGAACATTTCCAATGGAAAGGTAAGAGAGTAGGGAAGATGAAATATTAAAAGATTACAATCTAATGATTGTATGTATCGTATAAGTGATGCGTTTTTACGTTGGTACCCGACCCAATTCCATTCCACAATAATTCAACCCAACTACGTTTTTTAAACCTGGAATTATTTTCAATTTACTAGTAATGTGCGCGGTTTTCACTTCTTATTACTGTTATTGAACAAGAACGATGCTTAGAATGTACCTACCTCTGAATCAGAGCAGGGTAAATAATCTTGAAAGATAGAATGTATTGTAACGTTTAATTCCGTAGTCTTATTTATTTACAATTAACTACCAATAAATTTATAATGGTATTTTTAAAGTAAAAGCCAACGGCGAGCTATCAGACCCAATTGAAATCACCAATGGAGTTTCACAGAGGGCTGTTTTGAGTGCCACACTTTTGTTGTTGCAAAAGCCCCAAGCAAGCTCTCACCCCCTCTTTGCTGGCGATTAATTTGTAGTGGTAAAAACATTAAATCTATTCAAACCTTGCTACAATCCCGAAATGGGCAAAAAATACTGGCTTCAAATTTTCACACGAAAAAACATCGGTGATTTGTTTCGCCAAATCTAGAAACGTAGACTCCCTCAACTTAAGCCTCAACTCCCAAAAAATTAAAACATCAATAGATGTTATGCAAGTATTGGGTATCACCTTTGATGCAAAACTCACCTGGATATCGCATATAACCAATCTTAGAGTAAAATGCAATAAAATACTTTCAGTAACTAAGACTATCTCATCCATGGAATGGGGACCTACATCCGAGCTAGAGGATCAGTACTCCAAAAAATCGAACCCATGTATAATGCGACCATTATGTATGCAATTGGAGCGTTCCATGCTTGAACCAAGATCTGAAATATGCTACTAACATGTTTTCCGATACCAACCTACTACTAACTAACCAATTTATACCAAAATTCAATTATTAACCAATTCCATCAACTTCACCCTTCCAGAATCTACTTGAAAAAAGTTTCCCGATATCCCACCTTGCAACCCTTCAAACTCAAAACTAATTTACAGCTGACAGAATACAATAAACGCTTGTTTATAACACCCAAACGCTATTCAGAGGTTTACGATGGTTCAAAAACTAAACAAGTAAAAAGGTTTTCGCCCTAAGGCGAGGTTTAACTTTAGAGAGAGATTTTCATAAGTAAAAAAGTTGGCATTTTGCAGTCTGCGCATGCGTGGATTTGATTTTTACTATGTGCGATATGTTTGCTTTTCCTAATGACATTTGTTGTTTTCAATTTTGACTACATGTGATAAATTTTTCTTTACTAGAAGCGCATCTATAGTTAAAATTTGAAAGAGATATCTTGGTAAATAAAGAAGTTGGCACGGACTGCGCATGAGCACATCTAATTTTTGCAATATCAATTATGTTTGCCTTTAACAGAAGCATCTGTGACTAAAATTTCAAAAAGATCTCGATAAATAAAAGTTGACATTGCGCCTGCGCATGCGCGCATTAATCTTATGTTTACAATACGAGATACGTTTGCTTACACTAAAAGTAACTTTGGTTAAAATTTCAAAGAAATGTCTCCATAAATAAGAAAGTTACCAACTATTTGTATTTGTATTTTCACCATTTGTCATATAGCAACACAGGCAAGATAAGGTTAAAGCGATCCTGCCTCCAATGTGTTGCTGGGAAGGAAGTTAGCAACGAAAATTCGTATCTTGGGAAGAGTTGGTATTGCTGGACTGAAATATGAAGCAGAATACTCCAGACATGTAGGAAACACAGGCAGGATAGGGTTAGAGCGATCTTGCTTCCAATGTGATGCTGGGACAGAAGTTAACAACAAAACTTCATAGTTTGAAAAGGGTTGGTGTTGCCGGGCTGAAATAAGAAGTAGGATACTCTAGACATATAGCAGCACATGCAGGATAGGGTTAGAACGATCCTGCTTCAAATGTGTTGCTGCGAGAGAGGTTAGCAACAAAAATTCATATCTTAGGAAATATTGCTGGCTTGCATTAAGTAGGATAAAGCAGGATTATAGCAGCACAGGAAGAAGCAATTTGGTCAATCCTGCTTCCAAAGTGTTGCCATCTTCTCGGACCTGGAGGAGGTGTAAACAAACGTTGAAAATAGCTAAACAAACGTAAACAAAGATAAACGATTCCCATCGAGAAATTACCCATTTTACGTTTTGAGTCGGGCTGTCGTTAAGATGGCCCGACCCAAATGGGATCTTTAAAAAAGGGGGGAAGAAGGTGTAAACAAACGCTGAAAATAGCTAAACAAACAATTCCAATACCTAATATTTTCTGTGGGTGCGGCCAACTTCACGAGACAATTTCTATCAGAATCGATCACTAATTTGGCTTTGTAAAAATTTGGTCGTTCGATCGTTTAATAATAATAATATATATTTGTGCTAAAAGTACATTACTGTATTTACACGTGTCACATTTAAAAATAAAATTAACATCACAGCTTAGAGGACAAAAATTCATCGATCGAATAAAAGCTACCAGTTACCAGGATCTTTTTAACATCAATTCTGAATTTATTTAAAGAGGCAATCCTTAGCGTGTCAGGTAGATGATTAAACAATTTGGGACCGTGATACTTGGTTGAATTTCTACTCCTGTTGAGTAGGGCAGGGCCGGACTGGCCCAGGCCGCTAGGCCGCTCGAGCGGCCGGGGCCCCGTGCCAGCGGGGACCCTGGACGGGGCCCTCGAGGAACCGCGAAGCGGAGCCTGCTAAAATAAATTAATTGATAAATTTGCCAATACGTCATTGGAATTACAGCGCCTTCTCCTTTAATTTAATGTTCAATACTGTTCAGCAAGTTGTTTGAAATACAATTTAAAAAATCAGCAAATCCCTTGTCTTCTTTCTCGGGGGGGGGGGGGTTCATGAGTTTGGGGGCCTTTTGGTCATGGAGCGCCCGGGGCTCATACCCACCCAGTCCGACCCTGGAGTAGGGTGGTAGGTACCTCTCCAAGAGGAACAGATGGACATACCAAATTTGTGGAATCCGGTCCTCTCTGATGCCAATCAAGCCACACCGGTTAGAAAATTCACTAAGGAAGTTCTTTAGTTCACGTGCTCTTACCAAGGTAGGTACAATGGATTGAACTGAGGGCGACGAAATAGAAAGGTGGAACATTAGGGTACATTGGAGGTGCAATTTTCCAATAGGAGGTTTCACCAAAATTTCAAACCAATACCACTTTTCAGGAGCTTTATAGCATGGACATATGAAACTTCAACTCAACAAAAATTAGATTATTAACGAGCTCCTGGTGGGTTTATAATTTTGCGGTGTCTGCCCGCCCGTCCGTTTGCACGATATCTCGATAACGAATGGACTGATTACGATGAAATTTTGTAGATCGGAGTTCATGAATTGGCAATGTAGCCCAAAAAATGAGGAAAGCCCTTTTGACATCTCCGTGAATTAAGAACCAAATTGCATGAAATTCAATATGCGTATAGCTTTAGAGATATAAAACG